CAGAAGAACTCCCATCTTCCTCCTCTTCTTCTTCATCCTCCTCCTCTTCACTGGATGTTGATTCATACCTGGGAGACACACACGTTTGTTATTTCCAACCTCTAGACTGTCTGCTGCCCTTATATTATTTTAACTGTAGGAAAATAAATAATGTTACCCACCCTCCATTTAGTATGCCAACAAACTGCAGGCTCTTCTTGCCAGCGGTGCGATTCTCGCCTGAGCTACTCCCATCCTATCTCCTTCATGAATGGATTCTCAGCAATCAACCTGTTACCATAAAGGAAGTAGACAGGTCAAACAGAGAAACAAACAACTGACATAATGTAACAAAGACAGAAATGTGTGTGCCTCCATGTGCACTTGTGCTGACGTCATTGGCTTTATTGATCTGTTTATGCGCAGAATGGTCAGTTCAGAAGGCATCGACAANTGTGTGTGTGTGTGTGTGTGTGTGTGTGTGTGTTCGTCAGGGCCGCCTTAATGCACGGGCTGACCTGGCCCCCAATCTCCGTAGGCCCCTGGGCTTCAGCCCAGGTCAGCCCGTGCATTAAGGCGGCCCTGACGAACACACACACACACACACACACACACACACACACACACACACACACACACACACACACACACACACACAGAGTATGGATGATGTCAGGCTCAACAGCCTTCAACACCAACTAAAACCAGGAAAAGCAAACAATCCCTTTAACAAACCCTCTTATCTCTGAAAGCAAGGAATTCACCCTCTTCACAATTCAGTCACACATGTCAAAGTGTCAAAAGAAAAAGTAAGGCTACTAAAGCAACTTGTTTTGTTATGTGTTTCCCAATAACACAATAATGTTCATGGGAATCTTTGATACCTACAAAAAAACATATATATATATATTAAAAACAAAGCACATATATTAACTTGTGCCAATCTTTCACAAAACTACTATGCAGTGTTTTAAAAAGAGACATCCCCTTACTTCCTTTTGTTAAAGATCGTTCATGACAAATGCATTCACGTCACTGTTTTTATTCTTTAGCCAGGTGTTGATTTGAAGCTGTGTCTGCTGAAAGGTCCCAGTCTTGAAAAATGACTCAGTCGGTACAAGTTAACACCAAGCTGCCTGGTAAGAAACTGCATTTAAAAAAGTATTTTGCATTATAACCCCATTTACCAATTCATTTTGTGGTTGTGCATATGTAAATATTTAGGCTTCTTATTGAGATGAGATTTGGGTGTTACAGTATACTTGGGTATTGTTTTTTAATGTTGTTGTAATATCCTGCTATTGTTTAACCTGACAGAAGCAGGTTGTGGCGTTTACTACATTGAGATGGGTTCACAATGCTGTAAAACACAGGAATCAAAACACATATGAAATAGTTTGAGGTGCATTTATGTTGCTTGTAGAGTAAACAGGAAAGATCGCGAAGAACCAGCTCCAATATATGATAAATATACCCAAAGTATTGTATTTATATTAAAACATGAGTACTTTTATTATCAAGCAAGTAGACATGAATGTAAACGATTAAGAATCTCAATGTTCCCCCAAAAATAGGTATGCAAGTGTTTTAGGAGCTAACAACGTGTTGTGATGTAACACACTAAATGTTAAACCATCTTTACGTACTAACGATGTAGCTATATTATTTGTTCACATGTTCACATGTCTTCTTCCCTTCAGATCTGGGCTCTCCGTTTATCTACTCCAGTCAGGACGAGGCTGAGCAGCCGGGCTCGTACTCCGTCCAGACTCCGTATGGTTTCCAGCTGGATCTGGACTTCCTCAAGTATGTAGAAGAGATAGAAAGTGGGCACAATCTCCGTCGGGCTCCTGTCAGCTCCCGCCGCCCTGGCCGGGGGCTCAAACTCTCCCAGCGGAGTGTGGGGGGGCGTAACAGTGGATGGACTTCCACAGAGTCTCTCGCATCCCCGGCCAGTGAGGATGGCAGAGCTCCTCCCCCGCCGCCACCACGCAACCGCCTCGGGTCAGCCCCCTGCGAATCGCTTTGTCTTTCCCCTGTGGCCGTCCTCAGTGTCCCCCCCTTGTCAGCTGGAGCCAAAGTGCCGCCTCCTCCACCACAGCGCAACCCCAGAGTGGAGCGGACTCTTCTGGAAACCAGCCGGCGGCTCCAACAGGAACAATCCCACCAGCACCAAAACGGGGTGCGTCTCCAGCTCGCAGATCCCCCCAAACATCATGTACCCTCTCCGTCGACTCAGCTCCTGCAGAGTAACTGGACTAAACCCAGTCCTCAGAACTCTGGGCGCAACACTCCAGCTGCTGGGACCACAATGACTCCTATCCCACCCAGCCAGCTGCAGACAGTCAGAGAGCAGATGGCCACCGCCTTGAAACAGCTGAAGGAGATGGAAGAGAGGGTGAAGGGTGTTCCTGCGCTTGAGAAAGAGGTGGCCAAGCTTCGGGCGGAGAAAGACATGCTCCTGTTAGCCCTGCAGGAGAAGAAGGCAGCCATGGAGGCGGCCCAGCAGAAGCAGCAGTCCACAGAGACGTCCACCCAAACCACAGAGACCGTTCAAGCGGACCAAAATATCCACAGTCGATTGAATGCACCAACCTCACCTGGACAGAAAGGCCTCGGAAAATCTGGTGAGCTGAAAAGGCTGACTGAGAGATTTGAGGGCAAGGACGAGAAAGCTACAGAACCTTCATCCAAAGTTTCTGTAAAAGCTCCAGAAAAGGTATCTGTTGTGGAGAGGAAAACTGTTTCTGTTGGGGGCGACGCGCCAATGAACTCAGTTGTTTTTTACTACAGCCAGGGGGTGAAAGATGCTTCTGAGGGCACAGAGGTAAATGTTTGTGAGACAGGCACAGGGACTGAGGCCCACCTGCTTCATGAGGAGGGGGTGCAGGCCAGTGTGGAGACAGAAGAGGCTGGGGTTTGGGTTATGGAGTCACTACTCGGGCTGACCAGCGAGGCACAGCGGGAAATCGACACCTTACAGGACACCATTAAATTCCAGCAGGAGTCCATTGGGGCTCTAGAGGACCGGTTGAGTGTGGCCGACAAAGACATGGGGATCCTTAAAGCCAAGATGGAGGAGGAAACCTCCAAGGTCACGTTTGAGAAGGGGGTTCTTGCTAAACCAGACATGAGACATGCTCAGGTAGAGACATCGACTGCTGTATTAAAACATGCTGCAGTATTGTGCCGTCCTGAGGTGAGCGATGCATGCGTGGGTGAGAATTTAACATCAGATCACATCGAACAATTCACCCAAACTGATGCTGCAGAGGAAAAGGCAGAACCAGCTCCTGTTGCAGTGGTCAGCACTGGGTGCCAATGGGAGAACTTGTTTGGGGAAAAGCTGGAGGTGAAGAGAGTTACAGTCTTAAAGAAAAGACAGTTGACCATCGCTGATTACAAGGTCTCACCTGAAGAAGAGGTGGTCAGTACAGCCGATAAGAAAGAGGACGACCAAGAGGAGAAGACTGGAGCCAGTGACACCAAGACAGGTGAGCACTTACAGAAATAAAAAAATGTGTTTTTTAAGTCTGGACAACATATGTAGTCCTTCTTCACAAAAACATCAAATGTAGAAGTTTTTATGATATTGGTACAAAACTAATACTCATGTAGTACGTCCCTCTTGCACCAAGTTCTAGAACAAGTTACCAAGAAACTCTATCAAACTTTAACTTCTCAATTTGTAATTTGGTACTAAATTAAGGGGTCAACAAGAATGAGCTTTAACACTAGAACCGCCAGAGGTCGCTGTATACCTAAAACCGCCAACGGGTCAAATATACCCGCTATTGATTTTCAAGGTGCAATGTTCTTTTATTTATCATGTAGAACAGTGAGTTTGAATCGCACAGGGATGAAAGTTATACCAATAGAATCTGTGGACTCTCAGCTTTTCATGTGATATAGTTTGTGCAGATAGCATGAAGTATAAAATATCGCTACCAGTGCTGATTCAAACGCTTGGTGTTAGACTTGTGTTTTGTTTAGGTACAAATCTCTCCATCCCTCTCTATCTATCTATAACTATCTACCGATCTATCTATAACTATCCATCTGTCTATCTACCTATCTCTCCATCTCTCTATCTCTCTATCTATAAGGAACCGCAGTAGACAAAAGGCGTTGCTATAGCAGCACGTCATGTTTAATTTTTTGGGATTTTTTTTCAATCTGACTTCATATTGACCATTTTTAACAACAGAGGGTGCTACATAACACACTTTCAGGAAAAGTCACGGACTGGGAGACTTTAATATTTGATTGAACAAAAGTTAAATACAATAAAAAAACAGCTGCGGTAAAATTGACCCGTTGGCGGTTCTAGTGTTAAACAACTTTGTTGTTTAAAACTAAGTCAATTATAATTCGTTTTGTAGTGCTACAGGCAAACACATTTTTGGAACAAGCTGACCTGTTGTGCACTGGCTAAAAGACTCTCAAGGGCTACAGTCACTTTGTAAGCCTCAGTGCTCAATTCAGATTTATTCCTCAGATCCAATTTTTTTATTTAGCTGTACAAATAATTGTTTTAATGTGGCCAACATGAGACAAAGTGTGTCAAACTTGTCATGCTTCTGAACTGACATTCTGCGCATAAAGATCAATAACCAAGACGTCAGCACAAGTGCACATGGAGGCCACACACATTTCTTTTTGTTACATTATGTCAGTTGTTTGTTTCTCTGTTTGACCTGTCTACTTCCTTTATGGTAACAGGTATGCTGAAATCCATCATGAAGAGGAAGGATGGGAGTAGCTCAGGCGAGAATCGCACCGCTGGCAAGAAGAGCCTGCAGTTTGTTGGCATACTAAATGGAGGGTGGGTAACATTATTTATTTTCCTACAGTTAAAATAATATAAGGGCAGCAGACAGTCTAGAGCAGGGGTACTCAAATACAAATCTTAAAGGTCCAACATTTTCTTTTCAATAAGACAAAGGTCCGTTTATTACGGTCATTCACACGAGGTTGCAAAAACAAAAATAATCTGTATGCAGCAGTTTTCATTGTTATTGTGTCTGTGCTTGATCCCTCAGGGTCGCAGTGCAGCTGCAGTTATGAATAAAGGCAGCTGCACCCTCTTTCATTCAGCATTACCATTATTGCTTTATAAATGTCTTGCCCCCTTGTGTGTCCACTGAGGTTCGTCAGGCCCAACACATCTTCAACAAACTCCCCCTTTGCCTCATCATAAAAACTCACAAACACCAGCAACTGAGCATTGTCAGTGGTGTCAGTGCACTCATCCACAGCTAAGGAAATGCACTGTGCATTTTGTAGCCCATCACAAAGCTGATTAATCAAATCACCAGCCAGTATTTATGTTCTTCTGGTTGCTGTGGAATCTGAGAGGGAGATTTGCTTGACCTGTTATTGCCTCTTTTTGTTTGCCTTCAAACATGGTCTCCATCACTTCAGTCATGCATTCTTTTATACTTCAGTTATTATCCAGTGGAAAGTCCTTACCTACTGGCCTAGTTCAATCAAAGTGGTTACTTTCTGTGTGTTTACTAATCAGCCAAGTTATTTTGACTTTCTCAGGACTTTAAACAGTTTTTTGGGGGCAGACCTCTTCTTACCAAAGATATAAATAAATAATTGTTACCCATTTCAGTTAAAGGTCATCATTGCTTATGTATGTTATGTTACTGGCTTCTACTATGCCAGTTATTTCGTGCGGGAGCAAAGCATCAC